CATATCAGTCAGAACTTGCTGGGCTTTTTCACCATTGCAGAGCGGGAGGGCGTGTTGGGCGCTGTATTTGTGACACAGGTGTCAAACCTGGAGGACTTAGAACCAGGGTGGAGGTGGACGGTGACGGAGGTTTAGGGTAGAGAGAATGAGAGTAGAGCGAGGGAAGGTGCGGGGAGTGGGGGGGAGAGAAAGGGTATCTGGAGATAAGGGTGACCTAGATGGGGATTGGGGGGCGGGGGTAAAGATGGTGAATCCTCACTGTTGGTTTTCAGTGAGGGAGGTGGAAGCTCTTCCTCTTGGCTTAGATGTTTCCCGTGATCAGAGCTCTCTTTCGGCGGGGGCTGAGGTGGCTCTCCTTCAAGGTTTATGGTGTGTTGTGTTATGTCTTATTCTTGTTTTGATTCCTCTTGTCTCAACAGATGAGTGACACGTAAAACAGGTTGGAGCTGAACAATTTTACTCCGGACTTGTTAAGGCGAAGCCTTAAAAAGATGTCTGTGGTCCCACAGAAAGTAAAAATTTTCAATGAAATGCACAATGTCAATTTTCAATGGACAGTACATGCCGTTGAGTCACGTGTTCAATAACATCAATCTGCTGAATCTCTCAGCTCCTCTTTGGATTGATGGTATAGGGCCACAGATAAACACCTCAGCATTCAAAGAGCTGACTGTGTTCAACAGATTATTAAAATCCTCTTTCAACACTTCAGACTGTCGCTTCACAACATCATTGGCCCCGATGTGCAGTATGATGTCTTTTACAATAGGATGTTCAGCCACCATATGCAGGTTTCTTTCTGCCTAGTCAGACATTGTATCCTTCGGAAAGCAGAGTGTTTTGGTGTTCTTACTGCACATGCTTCTTACATCGTTTACAGCAGAGTCACCCACAACCAGAGTTTGAGGCCCAGTTGTTAGCTTTCCCTGCAGCCTTTTACTTTCTGATGTACTCTCAGTCCTTACCCTTCTGTGTGAGGATGGGACGTTATCCAGGTCATCAGACGGAGATCCAGGGTACTGCAATAGTGGTGAAAATCTGTTCTGCTGTTGCACACCCGGGGAGGTTTGTTGCTAACTCTCCCTTTCGCAGCTGTGCACGGCTGTGGCCTACTAAGAACAGGGATTGAAGAGGCGCTCTGCCTGGATGATAATGCAGGCCAGCCAGTTGCATCACAAATCTCAGGGCGCTGGGTTCTGCCTGTTACTTGTCCTCCCATTTCCCAAGGAAATGATATACTCTTAGGCTTTGCACCAAGAGCGTTCCAGGGAGGACTCCCACTTTCAGATTTATTACCCAGTACACAGGCCTCTAGCTTCTTGGTAGTCTTGTTGGTGCTAATTAGCCGTGTGTTAGCATGCTCTTGTCCACTGTTTTGGGTCCACGGTAAAGTAGTGTCATTCCCACATAGTCCATTCACTTCCACATTCACTTCTAACCTGTGGATCTTTGTTTCCAGCACTGCAATTTTCTGTAGAAGTTTGTAGAAGTTGTCCGTGGAGAAGGGTGGCATCTTGTTGCTAATTAGCATTAGCTATAACTCCAGTCACTGCAGCACAGGCTAGTGCTATTGATAGGCCGCACTCACGTAAAAAAGTATGGCAATAGCCTACTTTATCTGAATAGATGACAGTCCCAGTGATTTAAAAGTATCCAAGAGCCGCTGCTCATAATATCTAGCAGAAAAAAAGAATGCTAGCAGAGGTAAGAGCAAGCAGCAAAGCATCTGCACTGTAAGAAAGCAGGCAGCGAGAAGAGCGGAAACAGAACACAACAGGCGGTAGTAAAAAGTAACCGTCTTTATTAATAAAGGAGCTGTTGGTGAGGTGGTTGGCAGGAGGCAGGCAGGCACGCTGGTGGTAATGTGGTCCAACTAGTGAATAACAGAGGTGAGGTACGCAGCATGACGAGATCCGATGTGTACACAGGATCCTGGTGCACAGGAAAAACACACATTAGGAGGAAATCACTGCAAGCGACAACAAAACTACTAGAGCATACCTATATAAGCCAAGGAGGCCAAGTGCACTATACCACAAGGGCTTTGGGAAAACCTAGTAACAAGTAATAGAAAGCCAGGAGTATTTAACCAGGTGGATGAGATGAGATGATTGAATTCAGGTGTGCTGCTATGCCCATACACACATACACCAAGACAGACAAGGGAGAGAGATAAAACACGCAAACCCCAGAATCACAGCACTGGCTGTGACAACTATAATAATATTTCTATTGCTACTGTTAAAATTACCACTTTTAGCACTAAATAATAAACATTGTCTGCAATACATGGAAGAAGAAGTTCATCAATCATCTTCAACCGCTTATCTCTGCAAGGTCGCGGGGATGGAAGAAGTAGTTTCTCAGTTGTATGTCATCTTTTAAACCAGTCTTTAGAGTATCTATCTTTGTTACTTTCACACTATAGGTATATTGACTCTGTTGTGCTTTGCAGAACCTCACTAATCCAATAATGAAAACCACTACAGGTGTCTCTGATCCTCAGATCCAAGAGAGAGGTCAGACTTAAAATTATAATTATTGTCCACTGATTAATAGCTCTCACTGCAACATATTCAAATCACATTTAAGAAAACAAAGATCCAAATAATAGAAATCAAAATTTAAATGTAGAGTACAGAGTTTACAAATAGTAATATCAGCAGGTGGAGAATAAAGCAAGCCAGACAATGCACAGTCTTGCCTAATTCCCCACTTAATAGTAAAAGGATCACTTTCACTAAGCTTTCAATATCTCTTTGATCAGGGCTAGAAATCCAGAGGGGAAACTAAAAGCACCAAATACATTCCAGAGGTGCTGATATCCCACCCTGTCAAAAGCCTTTTCTTGGTCCAGAGAAATAAGACCAAATTTAAGACCCAATCAACTGGCGCCCCACCCCCACCCACCCACCCAAAAAAACCTTGAGTGCTTGAAACCATAGGCTTGAAACATGTTCTATTGGTGTCCTCACTCTACCTACAGCGATAAAGTGCTTTTTCACTTTCTTCTGACAGATTTACTTACTGTATGTCGCTTTGGACAAAACTGTCTGCTAAAAACTGCTAAATGTAGATCTGACAGGAATACAGGAAGTTTGATCAAAATGTATGTTTTGATCCAGTACATTTTTCAGTCTGTCAGTGGGCAACAAGGTGAGTACAGCTTGCCTGCAACTCTCCTGCAGCTCAGCAGTAAGCCTTCTCTTTTCACACTGACATTAAATACTTCCTCCCCCCGATGTCGACCACATTATACAAATCCACGGTAATTCTTGGAGAGATAGTGAGTGTTTCAATCAGGAGCAGGAATGTTTACATGAACAATTGTTGATTGACTCAACTCAAACTCATTTTTTGTAGTAACCTCAAGCATGTGTCCTTTTTAAACCTCTTTAAACGGGTAGGAAGTTGGTGGAGTTGGTGAACTCCTACACTAATTGGGATTGTTATCACTCCAAATAACATTACCTTATTACCTTCCCATTTCCTCTGCCACTCAACATCATTATCAACACTACAGAGTCTCATAGTGCATCATTCTTGTCTAAAACTTTTTTTTGCACCATTGAGATTTAAGGGAGATATCCTAAAACAAAACAACCTATGATGAAGGGAAAGCTAATAATAAATAAACATAACAACAAAAAAACTGTTTTAAGATATTTGATACTTCATTTGTATCTTGAGCTCGTAGCTTTTGTACCATTTTCCTGAGCGTATACATGTAAATGGCCATCAATGCCCCGCTTTCTCATCAAGCACTTTGCTGATTCAAGACATCAGGGTGACGTCACCCACTGGTTTGTAAACTACCCTTTGATGCCTCAAGTTTGGCATTTTGGCTGTTGTCATCTTGATTTTTTGGAACCATAAGTAGCCATATTTGGTGGAGAGGGTGGAGCTGGGTAGGGGATCTGGATTGCTATATCTAACAGGTTGACTTGTCCATCAGAAGGTAGCCACGCCCTAAGGCATACCCGGCTTTATTGTCTATTACTCTGAATTGGACCATAGTTTGCCAAATGAACATCATGCTGTATTGAAGACGACTTGAAACTCATTAGGAAAGTGTTTACTGAGGTAATAAATCAAGTGAGAAGTAGGCTCATTTTGTCATTGACTTCTATACAATCAGACTTTGTTTCCAACCAGTGGAGTTGCCCCCTGCTGGCCAGTAGAAAGAATGCCATTTTAAGGCACTTGCACATTGGCTTCACTTTTACAGATCAGACGTTTCCTACTTGTCTAAAACCACATCTCTTTTGCTATTTGTTGTTGGAATCCAACAAATCTGTTATTTCTCTGGTAGTTTGTCTCAGACCATTTGGAATAAATGATTGTCTATATGAACTGAAGACACTGGTTTCCTTCCTTATTTTTGTTTATACAGTTTATTTGTTTTTCCCTTTGTGTGTAAAATTAGGTTTTGAAATGAAGTAATCAAAAAACGAACCATACATGGATTCTGTGAAAACAGCCTGTTCTCACAACAGGAACCCAGTTATTAACGTCATTACTAACACCTTGGTTATGAGCTCCCTGTAGGGTGCTCATTTAAGTTATGAAATATGATTATCCTAGTTTGATCTAAAATAAATAAAAGACATAACCTTGTGCTTGACTACTGCAGCAACTACTGATTACTACTACTAACAGTGTAGCTACTAGAATATTACTGCTATGGATTGTAAATCACTACCTGTGTTGTATTTGTCTGCTGTTGTTGTTTTGCACCGTTTCCACACTCCTATCCAGAAGGAAATCTTTTTATTGCCTTCTGTCTTTATTGCCTAAACCTGTTTCATCATGATGGTTAATAATATCAGTGTCCTGCAGAAACCCTATTCTGTATGTACAAAGAGCTTTCAGTAGACAAGCATAATTTTATTGAGGAACATTTCGCTCATGGGTGCCTTATGCACAATTCAAGATTTATCAGGGTTGTCCATCATTATTATGGAGCTTGTCCAATCTCTTGTTATTGCTTTTCTCTGAAGAGGCAGGGAAGGAAGGAACAATCAGCTAATGGGAGGATTATCAGCCTGGCTCTTCTTTAAATAAGGTAAGCATATATTTTAACCTTTATTTTTATTTTTTTTAATTTGCAGTAATTTTAATGGATATGTTGGTAATTGGCAAATACATAACTGCTACATTTCAAACATATGGAAATGCATATAACATTTTCCATCCATTATGTTATTCCAAAGCCTCAGTGCAACAAGCACACCACCACTGATTTCTGCTTTTCACATCTATAAAGTCCACTTTCATTCACAGGAGAATCATCTTGTACATATTATCATGTAAAGGGGATTCATTTGAGTATTTCAACCTTTACAATTGGATTTTTCATAGTGAAGCAAGTGTGACCTTGGAGTGAGAGGGAATGGATGACAGGCTGATATTTGAACCTGGACATTGTGCTTCTACAGTATGTTGTTTACCTGAACCTCTTGAGCCAACAGGACACAAACTCTTTCTGTCAGTTGTCAGAATCAAAGACTTCAGCCTGCTGTGAGTATATGTCAGTTTCTTTCTCTGTTCCTCTCTCTCTCTCTCTCAGACAGAGCAGCTTTTAAGGTGTAGGCTACTCTGTATATAATTCACAACTCTGTAACTTTAGATCATATATGCATTGTTTTACCAGGGGAAATGGTGTGTGTGTGTGTGTGTGTATGTGTGTGTGTGTGTGGAAAGGGATGTAGACACAGCGAGCATACAGAAAGAGAAAGGGAAAAAGGGACAGGGCTAGAGTTGGTTTGTTTGTGTTCATGTATGCTAACATGGCATAATATCGTTGTTCTTTTAACCTTTCGGTTTCCTTCCATCTCATACTGTGGTGAATGTACTCCACCACATGGATATATTAATGAATTATTAACTACAAAACATGACAGATATCAGCTTTAAGAAAAATATAGCTTGAATTAGGTGAAGATCAGAGTTAGGGTTACTAAAGGTCAGGGTATGTCGTCCAACCATATGTTAAGGAAAAGGTGTTAATAGCCGAAGTGTGTGTGCTTGTCAGATTTTCAGTTTCATAAAGATGATTGGACAGATGGTTGCCAACTCTGTTGTTTTGTGCTGGACAGATAGAAATGTTGTCCGTCATATCGCCAACTGTATGTTTGTGTGCATATAGTATACATGTCCATGTTCCACTTATGTTTTGTACTGCGTTTTTTGTTCCACATCTGTTTCTACTTTGTTGCACCTCTGTTGTAAATCAAACTGTGTAAAACAAGTTGTGTTTTGTTAAGTTATCTTGATTGCATCCAATTGTACACACTTGGAATGAACCTTGTTATCGTTGTAGATAATGTTGTAAAAACAACATTTGTGTGGTAACCAATGCTGCTGAATGAGCAAACATGGCTTGGATATGATAAATGGTGGAAATCTGTGTGTTCATGTGTATATGAGAGGCAGGTCGCAGAAAGCAAACTGTGGCTTTCCACCTTTAAGACATCTCTGTTAACATTTAGAGAGTTGTTTTGGTGTGTGTGTGTGTCATGATTAGGCTTTGTCACCTCTCCATTCCTCGTGTTTCTCCGTTTCCCCTTCCCTGCTGTCTCTTTCAGTTTTGTCTGTCATATACTGTCTGTATGTTTTTATGGGCGTGTCTGGCTCCTGGCTCATCACCGCCTGCAGCGCCTTGCACCTGTGGCTCATTAAGCAATCAACCTATGCTGTGAAATACTCTGGTTCTTCCTCTACTCTTCGCCAGTTTGTCAGTTTACCTCCTGTGGTATAATTGCTCTGGCCAACTCCTCCAATTATTGTCTAGTTGAGTATTTTTGGTGTTCAGTACCTAACATCTTGTTTCCGTCTGCTACAGTTGTTCCTGTGTGCTGAATCGCTGCCTGCCTACCTGTTTGCCTGCCAACCTGCCTGCCAATCTGTCCGCCCTGAACCGAGCTCTAGGACGTCATCGTCGGACCCCTGCTGAGTCTCTGATGCTGATGGTCTGAGTTCTCTGCTTCCTCCCCAACCCTCTGGTTTTCCTCAAAGCACATTGAAAATTAAACCTGCCTGTGTTCTTATCATCCGCCTTGTGTCCGCTTCTGAATCCTTATAGTGGAACCTAACAGTGTGTGTGTGTATCTTGCATAGTGAGGACAGCTACAAGATTTTAACCAACAGAGTTAGGCGGTGGGCCAACGGCAGTTTTTATTTAGTATTTAGACAATCCCCATCAAGGGAGGACCCAGTTTTTTGCTAACAACTTCTACAGTTATCAACAAATCAAACTTGTTCCCACCCGTACTTCTTGCACTTTTTATTTAATTAAAAAAAAAAAAATTATCAGTAACTTTATCCAAGTTGCTTTTTCCGGCGATAGGAGTGGGCCGCTATGTTTGGGGTCCCACATACATCATATACATACTTATCATTATCGTAATAGAGTGCTTGGAAAAGTGCCGGACATCTGAAACGGAAATATATAACACACCAAAGCGAGTTAACAGCATGTTAAATATAATATAAGTTATTATTAAGTCAATTAATGAACTCGTGCTAACTCATGTAGTTTATATTATTGAATATTTTACTGTCAACAAAGCTAAACTAAAAAAGATTTACGTTGTAATCACAGACTGTAAACATTTCGTATTCAGCATTTGTTGTGTAGCTTTATTGCACTTGCCTGTCGTCACATCTTGGATCTGGCGATTTTATAATTCCATATTCCGTGAAACTGCAAAAACAGCTAGAGGAAAGATTTACCACAAGTTAACTGTTAACTTCATTAATTTACCTTAAACTGTGAATGTTTAAACATACAAATCTGATGCTTATGTAAATAACTGCCATATTAACAATATTGTTGTGCACCAAATCACCAGAGCAAATTTCTTGTATGTGTAGGCTTTACTTACACATACAGCTCTACTTGGCAGTAAAGCTGATTATGATTATTAAAACACATACATGTCAGTCATAACTGTCATAACGGATATCACAAATCTCAGTTCTAGATTAGAAGGTAGGTTGATAGAAGGTTGATATAAAACATGCAGTGCATAAGAGTGTGAAGGTGGATCTTGAACTTTGAATCCGTTGAGGAAAGAAAGAATAGAAATTTGGAGCAAGTCACTATATTTCACCCATTACGTTTTCAGTACCAAAGTGTACTGTCTGTAAACAAACTGTTACGACAAGAGTTCTATTTAATTGTCCTCAGATTAGCAATATAAAACACCAGCTGTACTCTTGCACCATTGGCCAGAGAAAGAGAAATTAAAGCATTGATTGGTGATCTATTTGATAAATCTCATCACTGTGTTCCGACCCACCTATTCCTGTAACAGGAGCGAGGCTTGTGCACATCTAGCTGCAGTGGACACTGTTGAGACAAAGAGAAGCACAACATAATTAATCCCCTCACTCATTCACATTACTACTTAAGTCCAGTGAAGTAATCAGTAACATTAAAATCACATCCATTATACACAGAAGAGACCCAGGCTGTTCCTTTTCATCTCGGATGATCTACTCAGTTGACACACTTTACAGTTGATACAAAACTTTGATATATTAAAGAGGTGATATTATGCTCATTTTCACATTCAAAATCGTATTTAGGGGTTGTACCACAACAGGTTTACATGGTTTAATTTTCAAAAAACACCATATTTTTCTCATACTGCACATTGCTGCAGCTCCTCTTTTCACCCTGTGTGTTGTACGCTCCGCTCTTGAGCTACAGAGTGATGCATCTTACTTGTACAAAATCTTTATTGGGAGTTGGACATGCGTAGTTCCCAGGTAAGGACTACTAGCCAATCAGAAGCAGAGAAGCGCGGGTCGTAAGAAACAAGGTAGTGTGATCCAAATCAAAGCCGCTTCAGACTGCGAGTGTAACCTAGCAGGTGGTACAACCACACATCATTGTTCCACATCTTACCATAAACCACTACAAAAATCAGTTAAATTTTCCATAAAAATTGGCCAAACAATTTGAATGTTTGCTCAGTAGCTTTCACATCGGGTGTAACAGTAGCATTATAGTTATAAGTTTAGCTGTGTTAGCCAACGTTTACAACAACTCCGCACTTGAACAGTCTGTGAAGTTACATTGCTGTGTTTATTTTAAATATAATTCACAACCAATAAAGCATACATACAGGTTGGGATTGTGAATATCCAGGCCCAAACAGAGTTGGAGTTGCGTCGTCTTTTAGGACTAAACGTTGAACTGTTGGTGTTCTGACGATCTATGCTGCCTTGCCAAAAAATGCTACCATAGCGCAAATCGATAGACTCGACTCTGCTCCGTTTTCCATTGCAGATAGTACCCACAGATAGTACGTAACTTGTCATCATAGATACGCCACACACAACTGCCACGACGTAATGTTCAATGCGACACACACACCAGCGATCCACACAGCAGTCTGTCGTGTTTTCACATTACATTTTAGGATCCCTCAGCTCGCTTGGAACCTCGACGGAGGTGAGGTGATACGAAAAAAAGTACCTGGAAGAAGGTACAGGTACAACATTTCTACAATAGAAAACCAAACAAAGGCTAGTCGAGCCAAACGCCCTCCGCTCAGACTAGCTTGGTTTGAGGGCGTGCCTGACCCCGCTAGCCGCTTGGCAAGCTTTATGACGTGTTTTCATTGTGACGTCACAAGTGAAGGAAGTGAAGGACTGGACTACAAACGAGCTGTTTTCAAGCGGTTCAGAGCAGAGCTTTCTATGGGAGATGGGAACTCCCTTTGGGCTGGACTTTGGACTTTTTCACTTTGCAAACCTGTTACATGCACAAAAAAGAGTTACTCAATAAAGGAGAGGGAAAAAGCTAAAAAGCATAATACCACCTCTTTAAATAAACTGGATGATCTGAGATTAAGAAAACAGTGATAAAAGAACAGAAAAAAATAAGTAGAAATAATAGTGATAGTATAACTGTCCTCTAACAGATCCTGGAAACTCACAAACAGTGAGAATCAGTCTCTCTTCCAATGATTTGAGCTGCATGTGCGTGAGACGAGCACGACCGCGACAGTTTCAAGGGAACGCGTCTGCTTGTCGCTGCACCTGTCGCATTGCCCGTGCCTCCCTTCCACATGGCCTTTAATCTGTGGATGTCTTCTGTTTGTTATTTAGTGCTAGAGGTAGAAACAGACAGAAGAAGGTGACAAACTTCAGCAAAGAAATGGCCTGTAAAGTTACACACCACTGACTTCTACACATTTGTATTTTAATTTATGTTTGGAAATGATTCTTGTTTCAACAAGCATCATTTCCAAACATAAATTAAAATACAAATATGAGTCATACAGCCGGAATAATAATAAAAGAAAAACTACCAGGTGAATAGCGTTATATTAATTAGGCAAAACTAGCTAATGAGAAATAGATGTAGGTCACTTCACCCAATGGGTGCATGATGCTAGCTAGCAAGCGCAGCATTAGCTAACGCTACCTTTAACGTTACACTGTGAGGTTGCCGTACGTTTGAACAACCCACAGCTATGTAGTAAAACAAATTGCATCACAAGCATTTTCCAATAGCATTAATACTTACCCTCACACGTTCACTGCATACAGTCTACGGCAGAGCGGCGCTGCTTCCATGCCAACGTTTTTCGTTGTGTCAACAGTGGTGCTCAATGCAGCTAAATCTGACAACGGGCTATTGGTTCATCTGCTATAGTAGGCCGCCATGTTTGCCGGTAAAGAATTTCGAGTGGCAACAAACGGAATCTGATTAAAAATAAAACAATCTTAACAACTTTAAAAATCTGTATCCTCCATCGATAGGGATCATTATATTCTAAAACTAAAACAGGTTAAGAAGGTTAAGACTTGGTTTGAAGGGTTAGGTTAGTATTTGGTTTAGGTTAGGGTTAGGGTCAGCATTTTAGTTGTGATGGTAAAGGCGAGGGTCCAGGGAATGCATTATGTCAATGACAGTCCTCACAAAGATAGAAGTACAAGGGTGTGTGTGTGTGTGTGTGCATAGGGTACTGGGTAAACAGTCATTGTCCCAAGTGAACCAATTATCGCAGGCAGCTGGAGACATTACTGATGTCTCTCTCTCTTGCTCCCTCTCTCCCTCGATGTTTGAGTAATTGAGACAAATTCAATCCAGTCTCATCCTCGAACTCTCCCTGCCTTTTTCTGTCAGGGCAAAGACAAACTTGGCTTCAGCTCTACATCTATGCTAAACACATACTCACATATTCATTTTCTTTATTTTCATGCAAAAGAGGGTCATTATCGTCACCCTCTGATTATATTATATTGAACTCCCCACTGATCTTTATAAGAAAAGAACTATTCCATATATTTGGGATAAAGCTTGATTGAGTCACAAATTCTAATTGTGGTCAGGAACAGAGTGACAAACCCATAAAATATTCAAAATCCATTTCTGTATTAAGCTATTGATTTCCGTTTTATCCTGTTCACCCAAGCATGCTTTAGCTGTATTTTACATGATCAACATGTTTAGAATCCTGACTATATTCAGTGCAACAACATAAGAAGAATTTACGAAGATTATGAAATAATTAAGGGAAAAGGGGAGGAAATAGAGACAGAGAGGAGATAAGACAATATGCTGACATCACATGACCCTTGTTTAGTAATGATAGGCCTGAGTCATCGTTGGTCATTCACTTGCTATGTTGGTTTAAACGACCAGTCTAAGGAGCAGCACAGCCCCTAGGAGTCCCCCTTCTGGCTTTTAGACTAGTCCTGTTTAAATATATATAATGGCCCTTCTCATATCTGGAGCACAAAATTTGATCTGGATAGCTAGTGATAATAAAGTTGTGAGGTTCCGCAGATTTTGGTGGCTCATGCTTCATGTTTCTGTCCTAAAGTGCTCTGTTCTGTTGACATCTAGCAGCTAAAGGACCTGTCATGTTCCTTCATCTGGTCTGGTGCTCAGATGATACTGCCAGGCCTAGTATGTGTCAGTACAACCTTTTACCATTACACCATCTCTACCAGCTTGTACTGTTCACCGAAGTTATGGTGGAGTCTTTGATTTATTTTATTTATGCATGTTTCTCAACCCACTATCAGCAT